AAAAATAACAATTTAATCATTCAAATAAAAAAAAACTTAACTTTTCTTTGTTTTCTTGCATTTCTTTTATTTCTTAAATTAATATACTCTTTTTTATCTCTACAATTTTCTTGGAATATAAATATAGGTCAAAAGAGAGACTTTCTAGAAGATTTTTAAAACAACAATTGCGTTACAACGTGGGCAAGAACAAAATGTTTTTACTTATGAGATTATAAACTACAGCAAGTGACAGTGATTGATGAACTCATGAAGAGGAGATGTTCTGGAACCTAGACTCGGTTCTATACAGCATGAGTGGTCAACATTTTCCCACATAAATGCCACCAAAGTCAACGCAAAGTTTGCTTCATAAATTCTAACCACCATTTTCTCACGCTCTCTCTTTCATTGCCATTCATCTTCTTTTCTCTTCATTCTTTATAGCTTTTTCTTTTTCAAATAAAGAAACTAAGATGATTTAGGTCCATTATCTTTTTATTTCAATAAATTGATTTTTAACTTTGCACGTTTGCTTCATGCATGTTATATATAATACAATTGGATTTTTTAGCTTTTGACCTTCTTACAACAATTTTGTGCTTTTGTCATTCTATCTAGAACAATGAAAATTTCATGCGATTACGGCAATCTAGAACAATTTCTAATACTAATAAAGAAATCATCAAAACCCTAATGCAAGTTCAACTAATATATGGTGAGCATGAACGGAAACATTTGAAATTTTAATCGATAAATTATTTTAACATATTGTACTTTTCTCGTTCATTTTTCGACATAATAACTTAAGTTATATTTGAAAAATTTTAATAAGAAAATAATTAAAATAAAATTGTTAATTAAGCTAGTTTATTTAATATTTTTTGGTAAAATTAACTAATGATGTGAAATAATATGAAGAAAAAACATTAATTTTCAATTGTATTTTCTTTTTTTGTGAAACGATGAGTGTTTAGGTAAGTAGAGTTTTAGTTATTTATATGTTATTAAAGGGGAAAATAAACGAGGAATTGATTAAAGAATTATGAGTAAGAGAAGAAAAATAAAAAATTAATGAATAAAAATATTCCGTATAGAAACTAAAAAATAAAGTGAAAGTTAGACTATATTTTAATTTAAAACATTCTTTCTCAAATAAACCATTCCTTGAATTAAATTATATTCAATTCAAAATAAAAATATATCACGAAAATATATTTATTAAAAGTATGATTTTTAATATTATATATATATATATATATTAAAATTTTAACAAAATGATTTATTTAAATATATTGTCGTTGCAACTGCCACTTGACATTTGGCAAATACCTCTCCAACATGCATTGTAATTCGAAAATTTCAAAAGCACCTAAAAGTCAAATTTGGGATTTCTTTTTTCTGGAAGTCTAGAAGAACAGAAAAAAAAAATTGAGAAGATAGAATGGGAAACTAATTAATTAATTTATTGAAATTAAGATTTGTTTGGATTGGAATACGAGAGCGGTGACGGTGTTGAGTTCTGTACCATAGGACACCGCTGTAGGCGGGTCCACCAGTTTCCCATGCGCTCTTCCAAGTCAACAAGAAAGAAACCGCAAAATACGAGTTTTTGATTGCCACATTAAGCCCTAGATTATCTCTATTTAATTGGCTCATTCAACCGTTTTTTCAGTTTACAAGTTTTATTCTTTATAATTTTTCGTTTTTAATAAAAAATTATTTATTTTCATCTATGTAGTATATGACAATCCGATTTGATGATTCAAACGTTTTTATCCGAAACCAACATAATTGCATCACACTTTCTTAGATTGTGTCAAATATAGATAAAATATAATTATTATTAATTAGATTATGATTAAATTATTATTAATTTAAAACTTATTTCAAAATTTATAAATATAAATTTAATTTAAAAAGATAGATAATAATATTTAATATATGTTAATTATTTGAACAATCAAATCTTTATTGATTTTAACATGATTTCTAAATTTAACATAAACTTATAAGTACGCTAAGAAAAGACTCAGATATAAAATATTACATATAATTAATACGTATTTTAAAAACTATATAAGAATGAAATTTCACAGCAACAATAAAGACTCATTAATCTTTTATGTTATTCAAATTCCCTTGCTCAGTCTATTAAATTTGAGATATGAAAATTAAATCAATTTTAAATGGAACGGCCCACTAGAAAGCAGAAAAAAAAAACATAAAAGTTATAAAGATCGAAAATTTTCAGATGTCATTTGATTGAATAAAATTAGTGCCGTGAAAATAGGTTGTAACCCGCATAGCCGACCTGATTCATCACGGATTTGAGTCGGGTTGGGTTTGAAAAAATTGTAATTTTTTTATGTGGGTTAATTTTCAACTCGATTTATTTAGAATCCGACTCATCCGGGTTGAACCCGTGGTGAGCTGATTGAGTCACCAACCCACCTAATTTAATTTAATTATTTATTATTTTGTGTTTCAATACTATTAGTTAGATTTTTTTATTATACTGTAGATGAGGATAAAAAAATATATGTTTCAAGAGAGAAAAATATTATAAATTTATCTACACAAGACTCTAATATTATAAATGGGCAAGTGATACAAAAGTTATCAATATTAAAAACTTATTTCCTTTTTACTTATTTTTGGATTACGCTTAAATTGTATGATATTTTTTTATTTTGAATTTTGTTTAGATTTGAACTAAAAGAAATTATAATTTTTTTTATTTTAAAAAAACTTATAATTAAGTGAGCCGCCCCGTTTAACCCACCAATCTATGGTGGATCGGGTCGAGTTCGAATTTTTTTTCTATTTGCTAATAAGTTTGTCGAGTTGGGTTAGCTCACTAAGTGACTAACCCGTGATGAGCCGGACCGGATCGAGCCGGATTACCCATTTTGACTGCTCTAAATAAAATATAAAGGTGTAATTATAAAAATATGTACAATAATAAAAAAAATTGATTGCGGATTTCAGTTTAAATTTATTTAAAATAAATAAAAAATGCATTTAAACATTAAATCAACCACGCTTTATTATTAAATAAATAAAAAGGTAAATTTGAAAATAAGACAAGAGAAGGCAAGGCAGTTTATTCAACGAATACGAGGCATTTATATCCTATCTTTTTGACCAACTTTCTCAAGTGGGTTGTGAAATTGCATGCAGATTTTATTAGTTGGAACAACCTTGAAAGAATTGCACATAATTAATGCATTAGTGATTTTTTTTTTTAATGTTTTGACCACTTTTATTACAAAATTATTAGGATTATTATGTAGCATGTAGGGTTTTAGCCATGAATTGCATAGCGATTTAACATTTTAAAGATATTTGAACCTTTCAATTGTGCCATAATTCGAAAGTTGTTATTGTGTTTTTCTTTGACCTGATGTAGTGTAGCTAGAAAAACACCACCTTTTAAGTTGATTTGGTGCATTTACATTAAGGTAATTGGATGCATGTATTTGTTCGTCAATCACATTTACATGTTGGTGGGGAAAAAGGTTTTCAAATTCAGTAAAATTAATTAGGCTAGCTTTATTTAATAGTGTATGATACATTTTAATCTCAAAATAATGATTTATTTTCAAATAAGTTTAAAACATGTTTTGAAGACCTTTTGCCATTACTATATATCCTATTTTAAAGTCCGAAAAGTTAGATTTAGTAATTATAACGATGAGATATAACATAATAAATTAATTTTTTTAGTTTTGATAATATGACTCCATAATTATTTTCCTATCATAATGAAATATTATATATTAACTTGTAATTAATATGGATGTCACTGTTATGTATCTTTAACTTTTTATTTATTTTTATCATATTCAATAATTTCATACGAAATCAAAATCAAACTTAATTTAAATAATTTTTTTTCTTTTTTTATTTTTTGACATATTTTTTAAAATAAAATCGTGACACACAAAACTCTAAAATAAATAATACATCAAATATATAATTAATTCTAAAGTCATTTGATCGATTTGGAACCAAAATACTGCTAAAAAAATAAAATAAATTTAAATCAATTGATAAAATCAAATGTTGAAAATCTTTCATATTGAAAATATATAAAAACTGGAAATATTTATCACTTTCTTTCTAAGAAACATTTTATTTATAAATGACATTATTATGTATTGTTAAAATCTTAAACTTAAATGTTACGAAATATTTGATTTTTCATGTGTATTTTAAATGTGATTTTTTTTTATCGAATATGTTATTTGAAGTTTTTAATATTATTAAATTACGATAGTATATTTTTTATGACATTATTATATATGTATTTTAACTATCAGTATTATTTTATTAACACAAACTCAATCATAATTTAACAATCACTGTTCCACCCTGCAAATCTTAAACGGGTGATTTGACCTTCAATTAAATGTTCCGTTTTTCATAAACTTCCATTAACGTAAACTAAAAGTAACAGGAATAGAATATGGGAAGTAAATACCAAAATAACAACTTCTATTAACGTGATTCTATTTATTTTTTTCTTTAGAAAACTGTAAACAACATTGTAATAATTTCAAAATGTTACCTTTTTGCAGTTCTTCTTTCTCTGTGCTGTTTCTGTACTAAAAAACACAAAGTAAATAATAATTAACAGAGGACTCAAAGTCAATCTATAACAAAAGTCTTTTGCGGTGTGCAATCACTGTATGTTAGGTAAACCTCTCAAGCCATTTTGCAGATTTCGTCTCTGTCTATTGTCTCCACCACTTCCTCTTCTGTCTGTAATAATACTCAGTTTTTCAACTTTTTTCTAGATGACCGAATTGTGGTATTATACTTTAAAAGAATCCAGAAGATATAAATAACCATTATCTTTTTTTACTTTTGTCGCAAACATCCAGAAGAAATAGATCATCATTTATGATATAGACAATATCACATCACTGACAAATGGTCAAAGTAATATTTAACACAGCTTCTAAAATATGTTTCAACCCACATGACTATATAATACGGCACTAACTTTTATATTTCATATTCTGAAAATTGAGCTTACATTATTTTATAGCCGTCTTTCACTTTAAATATTATCCTCTGCTTTCTGCTTTCTGCATCCAATTCATTCAGATTCAACAACAACTATGGGTATGGCAGATGCAAAAGAAAGGTAGCACTTTCTTTTTTCATGAAGTTGTGGATCCAACATGATATTCACATACCCTTTTGCTTCTAGTGTATGTAATTTGTATTTGGTGATTAACATTTTAATGATGTTTGTGTTTGCTTTTTCAGATATGCTGTTGTGACAGGTGCAAACAAAGGGATAGGATTGGAGACTGTGAAAGGGTTGGCCTCAAATGGAATCAAGGTGGTGCTGACAGCCAGGGATGTGAAGAGGGGTTATCAAGCTGTTGAGGAATTGCAGAAAGAATTTGGCTTTTCTGGCCTTGTGCTGTTTCACCAGCTTGATGTCACTGACCCTGCTAGTATTGCATCTTTGGTTGAGTTTGTGAAGAACCGGTTTGGGAGACTTGATATATTGGTAAGATTTTGATGTTATGTTTAATGTTCTGAGCTATGCTTTTCCTTTTTTTTAACTACTTTCTCCTTTTCTGTGTCTAAAGGGAGTTTGTCAAGCTTTTTATATATATGACAGTGAATGGAATCTTGCATTGTGCCCCCACTCAGTTGTTTCAATTGAATAATATGATTCACAAATACCATTTTGTCTGGTGATTCTGATGCAGAACACTAGTGATGAACAGTGTTTATCTAATATTTTTCATTTTAACTCTTCTTATGCATCTTCTTAGTGGTCCAATTCTCCATCTTTTCCCCTAATAAGTTTTCCTATAATGATGCTTACAATTCTACATGCTTGCAACATATTTTGATTTTGATCTGCAAAATCAATGAGTTTGTATCGGTGAAAAGTGCCTGATCTGGCTGACACCAACCTGATTCAGAGTTTATTAGACATAGTATAAAAGACTTTCCATGATTTATATTGATGATGTTGAAAAATCTGAATGACTTCACCATAGCAATAACTGTGTTTGTTTCTCTTTAGATGAAGGATCACTAAAGAATTTTGAAATTCATGTGCAGGTGAACAATGCAGGAATCAATGGATTCAACACAGATGGCATGGTGCCATCAAAAATTAACTGGAAGGAGCTACCTCAAACTTGTGAGATGGCTAAGAAATGCCTAAGAACAAACTACTATGGTGCTAAGGAAACAACTGAGGCATTTCTTCCTCTTCTTCAGTTGTCCAATTTACCCATGATTGTTAATGTTTCATCTGAAGCAGGACTTTTAAAGGTACAAAAACAACATAATTTTGAATTACTTTAAACAAGATTTTTACACAGTACACTAATCAGAAATCATACTAATTTGAAATCTGATGTTATAATATGGTGTGTTTCAGTACATATCAAATGGATGGGCAAGGAGGGTGCTTGATGACACAGAAAATCTGACTGAAGAGCTAATAGATGAGGTGCTGAGGGAGTACATGAAAGACTTGAAAGCAGGTTGTCTAGAAAACAAAGGGTGGCCAACCTACTTGTCTGCATATATGGTCTCAAAAGCAGCCATGAATTCATACACAAGGCTTTTAGCCTATAGATACCCAAAACTGTGCATCAATTGTGTCTGTCCTGGTTTTGTTAAGACAGACATTAACAAAAACACTGGCATCTTATCTGTTGAAAATGGTGCTGCTAGTGTTGTCAGATTAGCACTCTTGCCTAATGGTTCCCCTTCTGGCCACTTCTTTACTCGACAAGAAGTGTCAAGCTTTTGAAAGCATTTTAAGGTCATGATTGGATAATCTTTTTCATAAATACTTGTAAAGAAAAAGTGAAAAAAGTTTCTGCATAAGTAAATCAACTTATACATATGAGTTGAAAGAAACTTAATTGTTTTACTTCTCTTCTTTTGCAAAAAGCATTGGTAAAGAATTTATCCAAACAGGACCTGTTGCTTACAAATTGCAGATGGAATGAGAAAAAAGTTTGATAGAAGATGTTATGTGGCTTGGATTGGATGAAAGTTTTACCCTTAGTCTTCTTTGTGACATAATATCATGTGGGGAAATGCATCTGAGTTACTTGGTTCTTTTATCTTCTCACATTGTTGGCTCTTCAAATGGTCAAAGTTCAAGTTGCAGTGATTTTTGGACTGTATCATATGGCAGGACATGAAACTTTCGGCCGAGGAAATTATCAACAATGAATCATTATTATGTCTGTCCCTGTCATCTTAGGTGTGAATCACAGTGCTCTTGGACTTCAAACTTTCAACACACGTGCAATGCTAAAGCACTGCTGATAGCAAAGCAGCAATAATGGATGTCGAGATTTCAGAAAAAGACGACTATTGTAACACGACATACCATCATTCGTGTCCATCTTCTGTAACATAATATTATTATCTGTAATATATCAGTGGATCTTATCAAACGTTAATCCATGCTCAAATCAGAATTTACAAATTTAATTTGGGTTGAAGTTAAGTTTGTAAGAATTTTCAAAAATAATATGAGTTTCTAGAAAAGATGTTAGTTTACCAACATGAATATAAAAAAATGAAGAGTTGGAAAATCAATCCAATATAAAATTGACACGTAAACAATTAATTGTGTGTTCTATTCCAACTACCTTTACTCATGTTCTTAGAGTGTAACAAGAACATGTCATTTTGTTTGTATGTGTATTTTTTTACATTTTTATGGTATGATGTTTTAATATATAGATGAACATAAAGATAACTCTTTTATATATTATTTTACTCTTATGAACAAAAATGACTTTCACGCTTCACTGTTTCTTTTTTCTTCTTTGTACGTTTCTCATAAGTAATTCTATGTAATATCATATATTAATCAATATTAATCAATAGTAGGTTTATATTACATTACATTTAAATACTTTTATTAAAATTATTAATATTTAAATAGTTTTATATGATTATTTAAGTTATTATTGTAATTTTTAATGCTTGAAAGTAATATTTATGTTAAGCTTACAAAATACAAAACTATATAATGTAAATCATCATCCAAATATATTTTACAAAGTTTTTCATTAAATATATTTTTTAATAAGAGGAACATATTTTATAACCAAATAGGTTTATAAAAAGTTTATTTTGTAAAATTATCAGAAGAAATAAATAAAAGTAATATAATAAAAAAGTAATAAATAAACAATGTAATAATTAATTATTATATTCTATAATATTTAAAATAAAAAAATAAAAAATACAAAAAAAATTAAAATATTTTTATTTATAAATAATCTTCCATGAGTTCTTGAGTTTCTAAGATAAGAAAATTCTTTCTCATCAAAAGACACAAGAAAGATAGAAAAAATGAGTATTATTGATACAGAAAGAATGTATAAGTTTAACTATCTTGACAGGTCATAATCTGTAACCAACAATTCAACCTCTCATAAACTGTCCCTCTCGTTAATGGTTCTTGATTTCCTCCCGTCAAAAACGGAACCAACTAATAAAAGCCAATTGTAACTAATAAAAAAATTATAATCATAATATATATCTTATCCTTCATATTCACGTTAAGATATTTAATCTTATTTCTTTAGTTTAATTAATAATTTGGTCATGTTTTTATTTGTTTTGATTACTATTTTTTTTAAACTCAACTATATAATACTTAGCACATAGTTAATAAAATAAAAACAGTCCATAAAGACAGGAAAAATAAAATTAATTACAATCATCTAGTATAACTATAAATTAAAATTTTATTTACAAGATAACTAAATAAAACTATATACATGTAGCTAAACTACATAAACTCTAATATCAAAAGCTCCTCCGTATAAGGCATGCTTCACGGAAATCTCATCTCCATCTACTCACATCTACAAAATAATCATAGCCAAGATTAAAGCACCAGAACATACAACCATCATATAAGAAAAAGGTAAGCTAGTAACACAAATTATTAATGATATATTTAAATATTTTAATCAATCTACACCTTATGCATGATAAGACTTAGACTGGACTATCCAGATTAGTATAAATATTGAGTTATAACAGTTCGTGCACTTGTCGTGATGAAACAACTAGTCCACCCCAAGCTACCACATAAGGTTAGTCTCTTATCACTTGTCTTAGGCTAAGATAAATCCCCTAGACTAGGATCTCCAACTATTATCACGACATGCCTCACCCCTCTCTACTTGAGACTGGATGATCATTTGAATATCAGGATGAACTCCAAGACTAAGCTTTCTATATTCATACTTACATTATTTGAAACCACTACTGAGAAGTTCCTCCTTGGAACTCTCTTAACCATGTTGCATTCACATATAAATCATCATATAACTAGGCCAGAGAACACATAAATCAATAAACATCCATCACATAACTTTATATATCCATTACCAATCACAACAACATCTAAAAACCACCTAAGAAAGTAGAGAAAATTGGCTCTCAAGTGCTTAGAAGTTGACGCTCAGCGCCGTAGCTTCTGTTTTCTAGTGCTCAGCATCCTAAGGCCAACACTCAGTACCCTGGCCATTGAAATGTGGTGTTTAGCGCCCTATAGGGTTGCCTAGGCACTATTAGAAAAATAACACCCTTTTCAGATCACTTTGCACAGATTGAGTAATGATTTCTATTTGTTTCTGTTTTGATGTTTCTAGTTATAATTGGTCATAGTAGTGCTTGTAGATTAGGCCATTACTTTTCCATTTACTTGGATTAAGATAAAATTTGATACTCTGGTTGAGTTAATTTAGCTTTAATTTGAATTGAAATTAGGAATGTATCTTTGATTTTGTTCTGGATTGATTTTCTCTAGATCATGATTTTGCTAATACTTTGTTGTCTTAATATGATTGAAATCAAAAGTCTCTAGTTAGGTGTTTTGTAAATTGGTTAGATGAAAGTGTGTGAAATGCTAAATCAAGTTTTGCAACAAGAACCAAAATACTTGAGAGTGATTTTAAATTTTTACAGGATGTCTTCCTGAAAAGCATTTAACACTCTTTCTTCCAAATCAATGTACATTTTCCTATAACTTCAATGCTACCTATGTCTTTAGCAAGTTTCTTGTTTTCTTACATTTACTGAACAAGTTTTGGATTAGTTTTAGCTTAGGTAATAACCTTTTATTCTCTTTTTATTTGAATTCGTTCTTTTACATAATACTTCATTTTTGCTTTGTATATTTGTGTTACAAGTTCTTGCATCCATTCTTCAATAAGGATTAGCATTTATGTTTCTTCCACTTCAATATGCATATATAGTAGTTGCTATTAGGTTTTCCTCATGCTTTCATTAGTTTAAATTCTTTAGTTTACTTTTAGGTTTTGCTCATGCATATATTCTTTCCTTTTTAGTTTCAAAGTTTTATTTTTCCCCACCTTGTTTAGTAGTTAATAATTAGTAAATAAATAATACAAGGATTAACTCTACACTTTAAAATTTAATAAGCCAAGTATGCATATTAATCCTAGGTTGCTCCTATACTACACTAGTGGGGAATCTAGTTTGTTGACTTTTTGCACCACAAAAAAATGTTTCAACAATTACAAGCAATTTAACACACTAAGAGTATCATATCAGATTACTCATACAATTCAAACACATCATATCATTTAATCAATTTTGCATTCTTTTAGGGGTTTAGGAGTCTATGTTAATATATTTTTCTTTCTAATTATTTATAATTAGGCTAGTTTACGATTTTCTTTAAATTTGTAGTTATGAAAAATTGTAGTTAAAATTAGGCTTTTAGGAGAAATTTTTTTAGTGTTTGTTGATAAATAGGAAATTAGTATTTTTGGAAAATCTTTAATACAAGTTCTTTTCTTTATTTTTTTGCTTAAATAGGTTTTTATTTTCTTTAATTGCCGAAATGCCCTTCTTTTATTTGCTGATAAACTCTTATTCTTAATTGTCTCTATTTGCAGAGGAAGGCCTTTGGTCAACTGGACTTATTGTGATCAATAAAAATATTTTTGGACCTATTTTGCATTGGGGTTGGCGCTAATATGAACCAAATGAATTGGGACGTTGAATTGGACTGCACTTAATGAAGCTATGCGTTTTGGCGGAGAGCTTGGGGTATTTGTGTCGTNTATCGGTGAAAAGTGCCTGATCTGGCTGACACCAACCTGATTCAGAGTTTATTAGACATAGTATAAAAGACTTTCCATGATTTATATTGATGATGTTGAAAAATCTGAATGACTTCACCATAGCAATAACTGTGTTTGTTTCTCTTTAGATGAAGGATCACTAAAGAATTTTGAAATTCATGTGCAGGTGAACAATGCAGGAATCAATGGATTCAACACAGATGGCATGGTGCCATCAAAAATTAACTGGAAGGAGCTACCTCAAACTTGTGAGATGGCTAAGAAATGCCTAAGAACAAACTACTATGGTGCTAAGGAAACAACTGAGGCATTTCTTCCTCTTCTTCAGTTGTCCAATTTACCCATGATTGTTAATGTTTCATCTGAAGCAGGACTTTTAAAGGTACAAAAACAACATAATTTTGAATTACTTTAAACAAGATTTTTACACAGTACACTAATCAGAAATCATACTAATTTGAAATCTGATGTTATAATATGGTGTGTTTCAGTACATATCAAATGGATGGGCAAGGAGGGTGCTTGATGACACAGAAAATCTGACTGAAGAGCTAATAGATGAGGTGCTGAGGGAGTACATGAAAGACTTGAAAGCAGGTTGTCTAGAAAACAAAGGGTGGCCAACCTACTTGTCTGCATATATGGTCTCAAAAGCAGCCATGAATTCATACACAAGGCTTTTAGCCTATAGATACCCAAAACTGTGCATCAATTGTGTCTGTCCTGGTTTTGTTAAGACAGACATTAACAAAAACACTGGCATCTTATCTGTTGAAAATGGTGCTGCTAGTGTTGTCAGATTAGCACTCTTGCCTAATGGTTCCCCTTCTGGCCACTTCTTTACTCGACAAGAAGTGTCAAGCTTTTGAAAGCATTTTAAGGTCATGATTGGATAATCTTTTTCATAAATACTTGTAAAGAAAAAGTGAAAAAAGTTTCTGCATAAGTAAATCAACTTATACATATGAGTTGAAAGAAACTTAATTGTTTTACTTCTCTTCTTTTGCAAAAAGCATTGGTAAAGAATTTATCCAAACAGGACCTGTTGCTTACAAATTGCAGATGGAATGAGAAAAAAGTTTGATAGAAGATGTTATGTGGCTTGGATTGGATGAAAGTTTTACCCTTAGTCTTCTTTGTGACATAATATCATGTGGGGAAATGCATCTGAGTTACTTGGTTCTTTTATCTTCTCACATTGTTGGCTCTTCAAATGGTCAAAGTTCAAGTTGCAGTGATTTTTGGACTGTATCATATGGCAGGACATGAAACTTTCGGCCGAGGAAATTATCAACAATGAATCATTATTATGTCTGTCCCTGTCATCTTAGGTGTGAATCACAGTGCTCTTGG